ATCTATCTATCTATCTATCTATCTATCTATCTATCTATCTATCTATCTATCTATCTATCTATCTATCTGTCTATCTGTCTGTCTGTCTGTCTGTCTGTCTGTCTGTCTATCTGTCTGTCTGTCTATCTATCTATCTTAAAGCTGCACTGCAATCCTTGAATGATTTTTGTTCTAAAAAAAAGCATAAATTTTTTTAGCAAATTAAATTAAATAGTTACACTGAATGACATTTTTCCTTAAATCAACAGTGTTTAGGAAAATTAAAGACAGTGTTTTCTGTAAATTATGTTAAGAAGGGTATATTAGCCATTATTTTTTAGCACAGAAAGTATAAAAATATATATGAGATATTCTAATGAACAAAACAAAAATTAAACCTGTATTTTACAATTTTGCAACGTTCCGATATACAGCATATGACATAGACATTAAGCAGAAAACATTAATTTGCTCTTTTTAAAAAGCGCTGCTCTGTCAAGCACTGATAAATTAATTCCGACTCCATCAGGTGGGCGGTGAGTCATTGAGAACTGGTAATACGAAGCACATTAACAGCTTGAGAGTCACTGTTCGCTCAGTGTGTTGTGGAGGTCTGAGCAAATGGGACAGAGAAGCTGCTCCCTTGCTTTAAGGCTCGGCCTGGACGTCCCAGAGCAGAGACATGGAGAGAGCATGCGGTGCTCAGGAAGTTCAAGCAGACAATTTTAATCCTCCAATTTCCTCCACTCTAATCATTTCTCCGCAGTCCACGGTGGAGGCCAAATTAGAAACATCTTCCACTCCGACACGACGCACACACAGTAAGAACAACAGGCGGCAAAAATGGGACGCTGAGTAAAACAAAGTGCCACGATTGATTTGTGTTCATTTTTTTCATGTGGTCTTAAAGCTTTAAAGACTTGTTACGTCATAAAGAGTGTGTAATAAAATAAAACCGGTTTACTAAATAATCTGAAAGAAGAACTGCTTTTATTACCAGCATTATAATGCTATTAAGTCCAGCTGTTTAACAGTTCAGGGTTATTGCAGTTCACTTAAACTAAAATTATTTCGATACTTAGTATAAAGTCCTTAAACAATGTTTTTTAATTTACTTCTGCAAGCTGTCATGCAAATATATCTTATTTTTATATAGTTTAACTTTTAAAAATCCTATATCTTATATGTAACTTGAAATAAAATCAACATTAACTGAATACCAAATACAGAAATAATTAAAATATAAAAGTGAATATATTTCAGCTAGAAAAGCAAATGTCTCATTTTAATGTAGTTTAAATTAAACCAAAATAACTAAAAGTAAAACTATTCAACTAAACCTGTGAAAACTTAATAGACATAAAACAACTGAATAATTAAACCAGAAAAACCTTATTTGGTCTTGTTTTAACTTAAAACAATATCATTTTTGCAACTAAAATGAATACATTTTAAAATATTATTTCATCTGGTTGGCAAGAAAATATTTCTCCTTTACATTTAGTTTGGTTTATCTAAAAAAAAAAAATAGAACAAAAAATATCTTGAATATCTGAACATATCTGGTGACAAAAATACAAATCAAATCAGTATAAATCATTTAAACAACAAAATATAATAAAAAAACTATTAATTAAACTTACAACAGTTACTGAATCTCTCAAATGAGTTGCTTTTTCATATGGTTCCACATTATTCACGATTCAAATGAAATAAAACACACAATTAAATCAATGTTTACCCTTATATGAGTCTCTAAACAATAGAGCCAAATGATGCAGCAAGCAATAAAGCATAATTACTCCTCTTCCAGAGTCCTATTAAAAATATATATAATCCAATATAAGAAATAATCGCAAAACCATGAATAATTTATACTCCAAGACTTACACTGAAGGCCGCCTTAAGATGTTAATTAACCAGTTTTACGTTGACCGGATGCAATTATCTCTCATTATAACCTATATACTGCAATAACCCTGAATGTAATATTTTAAACAGCACGTGCGAAGAGAATTAACGCAGCGGGCTTATAAAAGCTGACAGTGTTTTTGTCTGTCTTTTAACCTAATTTGATCTGTGACGTTGGAGCTGCGGGCGCCGGATGCCAGTGGACCCTGACAGCAGTGATCATATGATGATTTTATGCCCTCGCCCTTAAATTTCGGTGCCTCTCGGGGGCGTCTGCTCACTGACAAGCAGATTACAGAAGTGCCAATTGTGGAGAGGATAAAATCCCATTAGCCCTTAGGTGGTAAGGGATCCCATCGTAGCGGCATTAGTGCACTGGTGAGTGGACATCGTTCACGATCTGGTCGGAGTCTTTAACCTTAAAAAGCTCACGAGAACAAGCGGTGCTAATTGCACAGGGTCATTTACAACAATGTGTGTGTGTGTGTGTGTGTCAAAATTAAATGAGAATATTGATGGCTTTATTTTAAGGACGTCACAGTTGCTTCTTTTAAACTTTACAGATAGTTGAATAACTAAATGTGCTGACAATCTGAATTAAAAGGTACAGTGGTTCTTGAAGGCATAAATATAAAGGCTATAATATATATAATTGCATTTTAGAAATTGTATGTTTTAGTTAACCGAGGTTTTGACTGTTCATTAATTATTATACAATTAAACAAAAACTAAATCAGACAATAATGCTATTTTTTAATTAAATTCAATTAAGTCAATGTATAAAATGTATAAAAGAATTTACTGTCTATAATAATATCAACATATTCGATGTGGGTTTTAAGAGATTAATAATAATAATAATAATAATAATAATAATAATAATAATACATTTTACTTAGAGAAACCTATATATATATATATATATAGACACAATTCAATAATTTAAAATAGCACAACATATACACAATTCATTTATTAAAAAATAAAACTGACAGTATAAAAATAGAGAAAATGATAAAATGATAAAATACAAAGACATGATACAGAATGTAGTATGCTGTTATAATGGATTAAAAAATATTTTAATGCATTTTCAATTAGTCGGGGATTTTAAAATAACCTAAACTTCGAAGTAAAAAACATTAAATAAATTTTCATATATTATGCCATTTCAAATAGTTTCTGTGCATGTTAAAATTAAGTGTGTACAAATGACGAATGAATGAAAAAAATTCTGATCTAAAAACATTCCACATGTTGTTTTAGGAAATAGTTTGGAATATTTAAGACATCCATTCCTTCAAAAGCATTAATTAAATTTGAATTTAGAATCTGTTCCGAATGCCATCACAACAAAGTGTATTTTTAAATTGGCACAAAATTTCTTCATATTCCAATTCAGAATTTTAGAATTTGATTTGACAATTAAAACTATTGTAACATATATTTTAAATTCTCACAATATTCAATAATATTTTTTGTCTTATTTCAAAATGCTAAACCGTCAAAATGGATACTAAAATGTATTTTAAAAACATTCTAATCTACATCTAATACAAAAACAAAAAGTGAAGTTGTCATTAAAGACTATAAAACACAGCAACAATCTCATGCATTCCTGTTCTGTAATAAATCAAATAATCACAAAAAGTGCTATTTATGCTCAGCATAAATGAACAAAATGCTTCAGCAAAAATTGGAATGAATCAAAATCTAATAAAAAAGGGATTAAAAGAAAAAAAAAGTCCCCAAACAGTTGCAGAAGCTCACATTCCCGCGGTGCCTCTACATCCCCAGTGTGCATCGGCGAGAAGAATTCATACCCATTACCACCCTCAACTTCACAGAAACTGCCCCGATCCCATTAAGCCCTGCACCCCGATACCAGAATATAACATTTCTTCTCCTCTAATCTGGCCGCTCAAGGAGTTTCCCATAAAGGCGGTAAAAAAGCCATGTACTTTAGTTTCTGTCTCACCAACTTTCCTCAGCAATGTCACACACACACACACACACAGAGACAGACAGACAAGCTTATGTGACCCGGGCGAAGGCGGAAAGGAGGAGGGGGGAAACAATCCGAGATCTGAAGTTTAACTGGGAAATAATACAGTTATTGTTCCAGCGAACACAAAACTAGCTTGTGTTTAAGTTGGAAAGGACGCAAAACTGAAGAAGAAAAAAAGACGAGGAAAAAAAAAAGTTGCAGGTTTGTTTAAAAAGTAGCCAATAATGCCGTTTTAAGTTCAAGTCAGGCTAATGAATCATGGCTTAATGAACCCAAAAGCCTTTCATGTACCCGACGCGGCTCATTTGTAACTGCCGGCCACAATAGACTATTGTGAATCCCTACCCCTCCTCATCTCGCTACCATCTACATTTTTTTCTCCTCTCCCACTTTCACCTCTCCTCATTTCTGCTGGAGCGACAGTTATGTCAAAGGTTGTCTGGCCTCACTGACCACAACAAGCAAGTTAATCTGGCCCAGCACAGAGTCCGTCTTGTCCCAGAACACTTTTTTTTTTTTCTTCATCTCTCCTCTCCATGCTTTAATTGCAGCGTCGCGAGTGTCAGAGCCGAGGAGCGAGCGGCAGCGCGTGGACCACAAAACCTCAGCGTAAACAAGGGATTAAAAGAATCAAGACCTTTCGCTTGCGTTTTCCTTCTTTGGACTCCTGCGCGAAACTTTTCAGTCAAGTGAAAGCGGAAGAAGAAGCTGCTGAGGAAAGGGAAAGAGAGAGGGGGAAAAAAAGCACACACACACACTCATACGGGACGTCTCGTTTGCGGATACGGAGTGACAGGAGAAAAAAGTAATGAATGAATGAGAAATGTCACTTGTGCGACAAAAGAGCTTTTGTTTCAGGTTGCTTGTTATATGACATCTTGAACAATAAAGGAGGAGTGCGTTAAAAGGAAGATAAAGGAGCTATTATGTGCAACTAAAGTACAATAAAAAAGCAATTGGACGCAAGAGGAAGAAGAGGAGTTTCAAAAAGACAAGTAAGTCTGTGCGGATCAAAAAAAAATTGAAGGAGGGAAGTTTTTCTCCCCAAAAAAAAAAAAGGTAAAAGATGAAGAAAAAAAAAGTTCAATCGCTGCCAACTTACCATCCACCAAGTCCTGGCCGAGATGTCGTAGCAGAGCTGCCATTTGATGGAGCCTTCCGAGGTTTTAGCTGCCATTACGCTGTCAGCAAGCTTCATCTGATGCTAGTGCACTCACCGGAGATAAGACACCTAATTGAGAAAACATTTGCACTGGCATGTTGGGCAACATGTAGCCCACTCCATACCATATGGAATCATGGGTAAAAAAAAAAAAAAATCCTTGACAATGAACCAATCTCACGCAGACCCCGTGGCAAGGTGAGCGGCAGTCATCTGCTCACAGAGCGAGCTGTCCTTAAAAAAATACACCACAATGATGAGCCCTTTTTTTCCACATCACTGAGTGCCTGAGGTCCTTTTTTCTCCTTAATTAGGGCTTGCGCTTCATCACCGCCATCATCATCATCACCATCATCATCATCATCACTATCACAATTTAGTTGACTTAGGTCTGCTCAAGATCTTTTTCTCCTTCATTCACTGTTTTTTTTTTTTTTTTTTTTTTGGAGGAGTGGAGAGATTTAATAGGACAGAGTCAGGTTGCGGGAGTTAAGGGAACGGACTGATGCGCCACAGGCTATTAGCCTGAAATTCTGCTGGACAGATGGAACTACTTAAAGACTATCATGCAATGTTTTGTTTTGGACTTCTTCCCCCCCCTGCGCCGGAAAGATTTCTTTTTTTGGGGGGGCAAATTTATTTTAAAATTGTGGAGTGCACCTACAATAATATTTAAAGCACTGAGAAAGTTTAAATTATTTCAATGTGAGTTATTAACAACTCAAATCCTTCTGATTTAATTTATAATAATTTTAACTTTGAGTTTATCATTTAAAAAATGTATATTTTATTTTATTAATCACAAAAACAACTTCTAAAAACTTTATGTTCTTATTTCAAGGTTTTTTTTTTCGCTTTTAAGTCCTTAAAAGTGGTGTCGAGACAGAGGTTATGAGAGGTCTGGGTGCTTTGGGTTCTTAAGTAAGGGGAATACCTGAGATATGGGCAAGAGAGAGAGAGGGACAAACCATCAAACAGTTCTCCCATTGTGACGAAGGCTGAGGAATGTGATTTAGCCAGAGATATTGGGAACGTTGTTGGGAAAGGAGAAGTGGAGCACCACAGGTAACCCTTAGCCGAAGGTTTGGATCACTAAACACGGCGGCAAACCTATGAGAAACTTTAACACAGCCTTTTCAGTTGGCTTATTTGAAAAAAACCATAAGCATGCAGAAAATATGCTAATACTTCTGGCATAACATAAATACTAATATAATAATCCGAATATTCTATCTATCCATCTGTCTGTCTATCTGTCTGTCTGTCTATCTATCTATCTATCTATCTATCTATCTATCTATCTATCTATCTATCTATCTATCTATCTATCTAGAAAGATAGATAGATAGGAATATTTGTTATTAAAATATAAATTATATTTATTTTAGTGTTATATATTCATATAAACACACATGAATGCTTCAAATAAAGTATTTAAAAAACAAAAAAAATATATTGTTCTTAATGTCAAATTCAAAATGACTAAATTCATTATCAGAAATAAGTTACTATTTACTTTAGTTTTATTTATATACCATAAGCTCTGTGTGAACTTTACGACTCAAAATAAAACTCATCCGCCACGGTAACGCTGGGCTCAGTGAGAAACGATGGCAGATAATCTTGCGAACAGAACGGCAGGGGTCTGGACACTAGCCCTGATTGGGAGCTGTGCCATACGGCCAGCGAGCACTGTTTACTATATACATCTCACAGGTCATCGGGGTCCACACGCAGCCAAAGACTGGGCTAGCATCACACAGGAATGCAATTACAGCCCTCTTGTTATAAAAGCTTGGGGTGGTAATCATTTCAACAATGCTGTCTGTTTAAGTGCTATCGCCTCTGAATAGTGCATTTAAATTAATTACTTTGGAACACTTCTATAAATAGCCAGTATCGATGGTTACAAAAATAACTTCACATAAGAATGTATGTGGTTACAAACAATTTATAAGGGCTGAATTTAAACAAACTATTTTAATTTAGTCATGTTTAACTTAATTTGTTTAAATTCAGACCATATAAATTGTTTGCAAGCATATTTAAAAAGGATTGCAAAATAATGTAATAAAAATGTCATTTAATTTAATAATGTAAATTCAATACTTATGTTTAAAATGATTAAACAGTTGCATTTTAAATCTAAAGGTGTGCAAAATGTATTTTAATCTTTTGCTAAAACAGAAAACAAAACATCCCACATCCAAACTTTCACATTCCTCGGTTGCCCAGTAGAAGGCACTCTTGTACTGATCTGACCTGCTTTGATTCAATTTTGCTCAAGTTTCAGAAGCTAAGCTTTCTTTAAGATCTCAAAGCATAACCTTACCTTAACACACTCTCTGCTGATGAAGAAAGTACTGTAGCATACTTGAATATGAAGCTGTCTTCCTTTTCCTATATATCAAGAACAAAAAAAAAAGAAGAAGAAATGGGAAAGTATTTTGAGAACAATAAATATATCAGAAATACTTTGCATAAGCATTAATGACAACATATTCCAATCTAGGCATGGGGCAATAACCGGTTTCAAAGTGTACTGCGGTTTAGAAAAGTTAAGGTTTTACAACAGCTCAAATTTTCTGTAATACCATTCCTACGGTATATATGTTTTTTTTTATTATGTGCTTTTAAGACTATTTTAATTAGTTTTTAAGGGCAACAGTATCTCCACATCTCTAAATAAAGCTACTGGTCAGTTCAATTTCAGCTGCCTTTTCAAGTTTTTGAAACTAATGAAGATAGCTGAAGTCAGTAGTTTATTTGAATTATTCAGTCTGACATGTTTACTGTGCCAAAATATTTGAAATGTTTCTTAAAAATAAAACGGATTGTGTTTAATGGGGGGGGGGGGTTGTTTTTTTATCCAGACATTTAAAAAGAGCCTAATTTTGAGCAGTACTTACAATACCGTGATACCATGAAACCGTGATATTTATATTTAAGGTTATCATACCCTATGAATCTTACACCAGCCCATACCTATTCTAATCTCTATCATAAACCATAAACAATACATTTCTGAAATACCATTCACAATATAAAACAAAAAATCAAATCAGTTTAAAAGCAAGGCTTTCTCTAAATATATATCTTGGATTACAGATTTACATTCATACAGTGGTTAGTAGCCAAAAAATGAAGCCACACATGTATGGCATCTTCCTGCTAATCTTATTTTACTTCAAATTCATCAAAAACAGAATTTTCTACAAGTGATTTTCTTTCATGTGGAACAAGCTTTGCCATGGAAAAGTACTCTCCCACTATAAAATGCCAAACCTACACATCCAGCCACTTTCTAGAACAGAAAACTTGATTTTTCACATGGTAAAAGGTCTTTTGTGTACAGACCTGTTTTGCAGAAAATTCAAACAAAATAGCACCAGCTGCAGTCTACAAAGCATGAACGACACGCTCCTGAAGCCATGCTACACTGATGTTACTAACTCTTCAAACTGCCGATATGAGAACAACTATTTTTCCAAAATAAATCCCTCTTCATGCACACTTAGCATTTACATATGCTGTAGTGAATCGCATCACACTTGGTTAAGTTTACTAGTGTAAAACCAGCTGAACACACTATACTAAAAGCATGCAAACACATCTCCAATTCCATAAATAAAAAAAAGATATTTTCCATATTCAAGCAAGAAACTTGGTCATTTGTCAGAGATATCAACAGGAAGTAAAAAAAAAACAAACTGTCTGTTTGAAAAAACTTGTTTTACTTATCTGTTTAGAAATTTTAGTAATAATCTGAAACTCAAGTCCCTTTTTTTAACTGCATTAGCACTGTTTATAATAATAGACATGACCCATATGCTATACAATTGCAGTTTAACTATGTCTGTATATTACAACTTATACTTGATTGTAACTTTAACTTAATTTGACTGCAATGCAATAACATGCACCTTATGTAAAGCTTCTTTAAAATATTAATTTTTGCAGAAGAAAGAGATATAAATAAACTTGAATTAAATATCTTGGAAAGCCACAGAAACACCAGCCCTTTCATGAAAACCCTTGTCCTAGCATTTGAGAGCAAAACTGTTGCAAAATTTTAGGAGGATGAAATAGTTTGAAAAGAATAAATTGAAGTGTACCGTCAGCAATAATATGAGGATTTAGAGCAGAGATGCCCAAACTAGGAAGAACAAAAGAGGAAGAATGATGGAGATGGTTTAGAGATTTTTAATTAAATATAACAGGTAACTGAAATTAAATGTTTCAATTCAAATGCTTTAACTTAGATTAGTCACCCAACGAATATAGAACAATGCAAAGACTTTTTAATTTTTAATGTTTTTATTGCAATAAATTATCCTTTAAAAAAGTTATACTGCATTAGTTAATGGGATTTAAAGTTATGTTTTGAATATTTTTAAATGAATTACAAAATTATCCATTTCAATTTTAATGTCATATAGTTTGATATATTTATCATGGGCCCATGGCTCTCAATTATGTTGGGTTTTTGGCTCTTCATATGAAAAAGTTTGGGCACCATTTGTAGCCTTTTATGCGTAAGCTGTGTGCTGTGTTCATTAAGTTAATGACATTGGTATCAAATATGCAAATATGGAGGTTAAGCCATGGGTCAAAGGCTGTACAGCAGTATTAAAACAGCCAGGATTAACATGAGGCGAGAAAACCTAGACTGATCTGGTTTAAATAAAATGTAAGAAAAAGCCAGATCTGAAGAAAGAAATGCATCAAAAGGGTATAATATTAAAAACTATTTTTTAATATAGCTACATTTTTTTCCTTCCACACTAACACACTTTAAGGTGAAACAAAATACTGAAATATTTAAAATATATAAAATGTAAAGTATTAAAAATATTTATTAAGATATATAAATAATAATTAATTAGTTAATAAAACTATATGTAATAAGTATATTTTGAAATATTACCCCAAATATAAATTTTTAAATAGTTAAAATTTTAAACTGTTCAAAAAATTTGAGTAATCTGCTCCGATATTTGAAACAATTAATGTGTCATTTTTTCGAATAAATACAATTACTGCACATCATAAGAAACTTGTCAAGCTCATTTTAAAGGGAAAGTTCACTTAAAAATGAAATGACACAAGCAGCCATTAGCTTGTATATGTACAGTTTGTATATGCGCATAAAAAAAATTTTGATGGAAACACCAAGAGGAGCATTTATTTTGAAAATAAAATGTATGCATATAACTGAGTAGGATAAACTTTTAATTCGATAAGATGCACATAAATTACACACTTTTACCGAACTAATTCCAGTATGCGCATTAAAAAAGGTAATGTGATTTTGTTATAAGAGATCATGTGATGAAAAAAATGTGTGTGATTGGACAAACCAGCAGACTGAACACATTGTAAAACATCTGAAATGTTGTTTTGGTCATTCTAAAACGCCTTAACCATTTCAGTATTAGTGTTATTATATTATTTATTACCTCCAGAACCGTCAAAGAGTGTCTGCGCTCTGTGTTTCACTCCTTTAAATGCCACTGTGCCTTCATTGTGCATCGGCATCGTCTTCTAAAGCGCAAGTCATTTATTGAATAAGTAAAAGATTCACTCAACTTTTCCTACCCCAGCAAACTCTGTTTTTACTTTTGATATTTGGCGCCAGTTAATCAGAAAGTGACAAATTTGTTCTGTTTGACTACTTGAATAAAAACGCTGCTTTATTTGCTCATCTTTTATGTGACATTTATGCGCATAAATTTAAATCTTGATGGAAACATAGTGACTCATATGTTGTTCAAACTATGAAAGTCAATGTATGTTGGTTTACAACATTCTTGAGAATATTTTGTTTTGTGTTCAACATAAAAAAAAGATATTCAAAAAAGTTTTAACCACTTCAGTGTGCTTAAACAATAAGGAAATTGTCATTTTGGAGTGAACTATCCCTTTAAGGTCCCAAACGCCATTGTCATTTAACTAAACAGCCAAAACAAATAAAAAGTTTTCTGCTTTTAGTTGAAAAGAGTGTCATGTAAACACCCCCTAATTCTAAGCAAAAGAAGCTGTCTAACAGAGCAAACTTGAGGCATTTGACAAAACCAGGAAGCACCAGTGTTTATTTCCATGCATTCTCCCTTCTGATTGTTGGCAGATGCCATTATGTTCCAGGTTATTAAACTGTAAAGGGAATTGGATGTAGCCAAATAAACAATCCCTCATCATCTGTGGTCTCGTTAGCATTGATATTACTCGGCTGTTATGACTGATATACCTCAACGATGTCTTTAAAATGTCACAAAAAC